CCATTGTCCAAACAGTATTTTATTCAGCAATCAATAAGATAAACATACAAAGAAGTACATTCCCCATCACACACACTTGCATTCCAGGCCAGCCTGGCCTATATGAGTCCCAGTCTCAATCAGACCCAACAGACATATAAAATGCTACATGACTTTGTCTGCCTTACACAGGGCCATGCTAATATTTTCTGTATTGTTTTACTTTTAGTATATGTGCTACCAAAGTGAGCATGATAACAAGTTTTAAAGTGATTTTTAAGAATTATTAGGTTGCATATTTTCATTTAGGTTCTGTGGTCTACAAGTTAAAAACTTCAGTCACTACTATGTATGCCAAAATGTAAAAATTCATTAGAAATTTGGTGTAACACGAATAATAAAAACCCAGAGACAGATACTGGGGTTCGGGCTTCAAGCTTAAGATCAGAAAAACAAAGCAACCAGCCACTAGCTCTTACCTCTACCTCAGACTGAAAGGGCTGTCCTGTCCTCAGTGTGGCTGGAGAATAAATCTCCCCACAAATCTCAGACTGCAATCCTGTCTCCACTAAGCCTCGGACTGCAATCCCAGACTTCTGCCTCTTTCTTTTATACCTCTCAAATCCTGGGGATAAAGGTGTGTGATTCCCAACTGCTGAGATCACCTTTGTGTGAGCTGTTTCTCTTTGGGACTGGATCAATTTCTTTTCTTTCGTTCTTTCTTTCTTTTCTTTTCTTTTCTTTTTTTTTAAAATCAATTTCATATATCTCAGTGCGGCCTTGAATTAACAGATCCATTTGCTTGTGTCTTAATTCCTGGGATTAAAGGTATGTGCCACTACTGCCTGGCTCTATAGCTAGCTAGTATGGCTGCTGGGAATAAAGGTATATATCATCATTGCCTGGCTCTATGGCTTGTGGCTAGCTTTGTTTTCTGTACCCTCAGGCAAGCGTTAATAAATCATAAATAATACATCACCGCAGATAGGGAAATGTGATGTAGTTGTTAATTAAACTTTAGATGGTTGTTACTCTCTTTAGAGTTTAAAACTTTGTTTTCATTTGTCAAAAAGTCACATACAAATAATGAGATGATAGCACTATTTTTGTCTCTTCACAGCAAGTTAATGCTTGTTCGTCCTGTAAGTAACACTCCTTGTGTAAAAGTGAAACTGTAAAGGGCAGTCTGTTCACAATTAGATCTGGATAGACATGTTCATGTTAAAATTACCCAAGAAAACAAATCTAACCATTGCCAAGAAGACACATAGGTAACCTATTCAGGTGTGGTAGAATTTCATAGGAGCAGGCTAGGCCATGACTGTGACAGTTTCTGAATGCTGTGGTCTTGTGTTGAATTTTAATTTTAGTAATGTTGGCCAACAAAAGACATTTTGTACTTTGAAGTTTCATAGACAATCTGCATTTTGAATACATGTAGTTAGTTTTATATAATTATTATGTTGTTAATTGTGGGTGTTAGAGTAAGATGAACATATGGATATATATTTCCATTAATTAAAGGAAAGTGAAAATTTAAATTTAGAGATATATATGTGATAGTGACAGGAGAGTTTTGAAGACTGAACCCAAACTTTGAAATATAAGCTAACCTTGCTTTGGACTGGGTAGATAGTTTAGTTAGTATAAAGCCTGCTCGCACAAGTACAGGACCCCAGTTTCATTCCCTAACACCCTGTGAAAGGCAGATGTCAGAGAATAGATCTGTTTTGACAAAGAGACAGATGACAGATGGTAACACATGGATCCCTGGAGCTCACTGGCCAGCCAGTCTCATCAAAAAGAAGTAAGCTTCTGTTTCAGTGAGAGACCCTGTCACAAAAAAATAAGGTGGAAAATGACTGACAGAGTCAGCTGACATCAACCTCTGCACTCCACAGACACATACATCCATATGCATACACATACATACATGCACCCACCTACATATATACATGCACATACATATGTACATCCACATTAACATGTACTCATGCATGACCCCTTACACATAGAGCTAACCTTTCCTCTTGGCTATATGACCTCATAAGAAAAGTGTCAGAATATCCCCATCTCTTTGTAATGTGTTACATAGAGCCGGTGTATGTTCATAGGTCCCAAATTGTTAACATATGTATGCTTAGGATGGACTGAATGTTAATACTCAGACCTGCATCCCAGTCCTCAAAAAAGTGCTTCTCTTGTAGGTTATCATGCCACCATTTCGTGATCCTTTGAAAAAAGCACAATATGACAAGGATGATGAAAAGAGAACTCTTCTTCAGTGTGAGACTGGTACTTAATTCTTACGTGATTTCCTTCCCTTGGAGCAGTGCAGTTACATTTGAGCATGCTGATCTAGGTCACTAATTTTCTTGCAGGCAAAATCTATACAATGAAAGAATTTAAAGAGATCGAGAAGGCCCAATTGCATTCCAGGTTCCCGAGTATTTCTAATTCAAGGCAATGTATGACTCCAAATGAATGGCTTAAAGTGTCCATGAGATATATAGAAAGTGAATTTTGTAAAAAGAGCAGGTAATAATTGATGTAATAGAAGTTATGAGCTTCTTGGACTTGAAAACTCTTTCTTGAGACAGTGACATCTTTAATTAATTATTTTAAAATGTTTATCTGTGTGTGATATTTTTCTTGAATACTATCAAAATTCCCCAATTTTGGTTTTCATCAGGTGGACTATGAGGTATCTAAGCTTATTTTCCTCTTAAGAGTCCTCTGATATTTTCATTTTTATTGTTATATATATTTCATTAGTTTGGGAGAAAACTTAGACCATTATTACTTCAGACATTTCTCATGTACCATTTGTCTTCTTCTAATTTTTGAGATTATGTGTATATGTGATCATGTATAATGTCCACAGTTCTGTAAGACTTGATAATGGTTGGCTTTACTTTGTGTGTTTTGGTTCAATGACTCCTGTTGAGCTGTCTGTAAATTCACAAGCCCTTGTTGTATGCTATCTACTGACTGATAGGCCCATCAAACACACCAACTGTGATATCGTGATTTTTAGCATTCCTATTTGACTTTTCATATTTTCACCTTTTCTGATATTCTTCATCTTTTAGTGATAATTGTCTACTTTTTCAACCAGATTTTTTCAAAAGCCATACTAATCATAGTCACTTTAAATTTCCAATTGATAGATCCAATATTAGGATCATTTCTGAGTTTAGTTCAGTCTGGTTCTGTTAATTGCTTTATGTTTTGACTAGGCATTTTATTTTGTCTATTTTTTACATGCCTTATAATTTAAAAAGACTCATTTATTTTTATGTGTAAGGTGTTTTGCCGCATGTCTATTTATATATGATATGTTTGCCTGGTGCTTGTAGGGGTCAGAAGAGGGTTTTGGATACCCTGAACCTGGGTCTTCTTGAAGAACAGTCACTGTTCTTTGTGTGTGTGTGTGTGTTTTTTTTTTCTTCACTGTATAATACTTTCAATTTGCTCCCCAGGGAGGGTGAGGCCCTCCATGGGGGATCTCCAAAGTCTGTCCTATCATCCCAGGCAGGACCTAGGCCCTCCCCCATGTGTCCAGACTGAGAGAGCATCCCTCCATGTGGAATGGGCTCCCAAAGTCCATTTGTGTGCCAGGGATAAATACTGGTCTACTACCCAAGGCCCCATAGATTGCCAAGGCCTCCTCACCGACACCCATGTTCAGGGGGTCTGGATCAGTCCCATGATGGCCTCTTAGTCATCAGTCTGGGGTCACTGAGCTCCCCCTTGTTCAGGTCAGCTATTTCTGTGAGTTTCACCAGCCTGATCTTGACCTCATTGCTCATCACTCCTCCCTCTCTGCAACTGGGTCCCAGGAGTTCAGTTCAGTGTTTAGCTGTGGGTGTCTGCCTCTGCTTCTATCAACCACTGCCTCAAGGCTCTAGGATGACATGTAAGTTAGTCATCAATCTCATTATCGGGGAAGGGCATTTAAGGTAGCCTCTCAACTATTGCTTAGATTGCCAGTTGGTGTCATCCTTGTAGATCTCTGGAAATCTCTCTAGTGCCAGATTTCTTTTAAACCTATAATGGAAGAATAGAGGAGAGCAAGATAAGAGATATTATAATAGAGGGAGCCATTTTTTTTTTTTGAGACAGGTTCCCACTGTACCCCGGACTGGCCTAGAACTCCCCATGTGCATCAGGTTAGCTTCAAATGAATCTCTAGAGCTCCTCCTGCCTCTGTTGCCTAAGTGCTAGATATAAAGGCATGCACCACCACAACTGACCTTAATTTTATATTTTTCTGATGCCGTACTTCTCTGTAGAAACAGACATGCCTTTTCTGCCACCCATTAGTATTGGGAGAATTGGTTTATTAGAAGTTGATCTAAGTTTGGGTATTATAGTTGTTGCCTTTAGCACTCTACAGACCTTAAAAAACAAAGTATGTCATTCGTGTGCAGCTCACAGAAGCCAGAAAAAGGTGTCAGATCCCCCGGAACTGGAGTTCAGGCAGCTCTGAGCTGCCTGTGTGGTGATGGGAATAGAACCTATGTCCTCTGGAAGAACAGCCATGGCTCTTAACAGCTGCACCAACTCTTCAGATCCTTAAGGAGTTTCTTTTGTTGTTTTTCTTAAAGACATTTTCATTTTGAATTTATGTATATATGTGCCAATCTGTGTGTTGGTATGTGAACATGAGTGCAGATGTCTACAGAGTCCAGAAGAGAGTGCTGGGTGTCTGGGTGCTGGAGTTACAGGTGATTGTGAGTTAGCTGTCAGAGTATGTGCTGGGAACCAAGCACAGGTCATTGTGAAAAGCAGATTTTACAGTTTAGCCATGTTGCTAGCCCTGAGTTTTTTGTTTTTGTTTGTTTGTTTTTTAACTAGGAAGCTATGCTGTGCGAGGGCCTCAGGATGATGGCAGAAGGATAAAATAAAAATAGAGATTGATGTGATAAAAGAAAAGATTTATACAGTTTCATGACTTGGAGGGCTGAAAACAAAGTCAGAGGAAATTCTAAGTTGGAGCAGATATGCTAAATGCAGTGCTTTGTGCCTGTTGGGCAAGCTTTCTAACAGTGAGCCTGGGCTCCAGCCTGGTGGTTAAGAGCTGTCATCAAGCTGGGTGGTGGTGGCACACGCCTTCAATCCCAGCACTCGGGAGGCCGAGGATCTCTGTGAGTTTGAGACCAGCCTGGTGTACAAGAGCTAGTTCCAGGACAGCCTCCAAAGCCACAGAGAAACCCTGTCATAAAATGTATTCATCTTCTATGGCTGCCATACTGTGGCTGTCTTCTTGCTTCTGCCTCCCAATGGCTGAGAATACAGGCCTGTTCTACCACATCTGGCTTTATGACTTCTTTTTACTTTAAGGTATAAACTCCCAAGAAATAGAGGGAGGGTTTCAACCTTTCCTGCCTAATCTTGGTTCTTAGTGAACAGCATATCAGTCTCTATCATGGTTTCAGAAACTCTTAAACAACTAATATCACTGAGAAGGCACACTGTCAAGTAATGGTATTTTGGGCCATATTTATAGCAGTTAGTTCCTAACAGTAATTTGTGCATAAATGCAAATGAGCACTGCTTTGCAGCATCCTGACACATGTTTTCCTATTAAAGGGTCAAAGTGAAGACGAATTTTCGTACCAGTAGTTTAGATTTGAATCAATTGAAAAGGGAGCCTAATTTTCTGGAATCCCAGGAGAAAAGACGGTCAGTCACAAGTAAGTCTGTTATTTATGATTTTGTTCTCCTTTTGTTTAAGATGCTTAGTTGTGTTGCCTTCCCATCCATCATTTCAGATTGTTTGAGTTAGTGCCAAGGCCTCAACACCATGTCAGGGTAAGGGAACTTTTCTTTGGTGTTTATTGTTTAAAGGAACAAATAGCACAGAAAAAGCAAGTACAAAAATGGGGCTGAGGGAGAAGGTTTGCAACTGTACTAAAGTTATGAGAGTTTTAGATTGAGACTAGTTTGGTAGATACTGTACTGAGTTAAAAATAAGGTCTCATACATACAAAACTGCATTCCCAGTACTTGGGACGCTGAAGCAGGAAGATCTTAATTTTGGGTACAGCCTGGGCTACATAGCAAGACCCTGTGTGAGAAAACAGTGTGGGGATAGAGATTTCTCCACACAGGTGTAGAAAAAGGCAGCTTCTCATAATCTGATTAAAAATAATATGATCCTTTTGTATTTTGTTTTCCTTTATTTTTTAAATTGGTTGTTGTCTAGTTTCTTAGAGACAGGGTTTCATGATTACATGTAGCCTAGACTGGTCTTGAACTCTCTATATAGCTAACAGTAGTCTTAAATTCTTTATCCTTTTGCCTCCACCTTCTGCATGCTAGGATTACAGGTGTGGACCACTACCCCTAACAAAATAACATAAACTGCTTTGTAGCCAGTTATACACAAGCCGAACAGTCTAGCTGGTAGGTCAGGGCACTGGGTCTGAAGCATAATGACCTGAGGTCTAGTAATAGCTGTGTGGTCATGGGACTTGAGGAGTGAGCAAGCTGATAGAGCGAATTAGTATTTGATATGAGAAATGAGTAAAAGCAAGAAACCAAAGACAACTGTGTTGTTGAGGTTTTTGTCCTGAGGGGCCTCGATGGATGCTGGTCCTACTCATGACCACAGAGAGATGAAGGAAGAAGTGCAGAAATAAAGATAATGTTTTCTGGGGCTAAATGAAAGATGCCTTTTACCATTACAACACACATTTATAGGGTATGGTTTTCAAGTAAGTTAGCCTTTCCTCTAGCTGTTCATTAAACATGTTGAGGGTAGGGATGTAGCCTGGTGCTCTAGGGCTAGAGATGTAGCCCAATGGACAGCACTTATCTAGCATGTGCAGGATTCAGTCTCCAGCAGTCTCTTTCTCAAAAAAGGAAACAGATGAACAAGTAAGGAAGCAGTGAGCACAGTCTGTTCAAGGTAGTTGACCCTATGTAGTTTCAGAGCTAGGTGCTTCTGATTACAAAGGCTTCACTTCTGTAGTTAGCATAACTAAGTGACTGTGTTGCTCTTCCTAGCCTGGAACTTGCTGTATAGACCAGGCTGGCCTCAAATTCACAGATCTCTGTCAGCATCTGGAGTACTAAGATTAAAGGAAGAACACACACACACACACACACACACACACACACACACACACACCACTCACACACATTCTTGATTCTTTTGTAAACCCTGTAAGACTTACCTTCACGCATTTAGAACGTAACATTTACTTCCTAAAAGATACCAAGACTAAAATCAAGTGTATTTTTAGTAATATTCAGCTGTATTTAGCAACAATTATCTTTTAACTCAACCCCTAGAGGAGCTGTGAAGTAGGCAGGTGATTGTTGCCTAGAGGTCAGAGGAGATACTATACTGGACATGCATATTTTTGTCATCTGATATTGTGTGATTTGAAGTCATAAGATGATCTGAGAGGGAGTGACAAGAGGACTGAGGCTGGATTCTGTGAGAGGCAACAACTCTTGCTAGAGAGGCTCCAAGGGGATCAGCTCCCATAGCCAAGGAACTTTCTGGTTCTCTAAGCCCTTTATCCCTATGGCACACTCAACTCTTTTCTTTTGTCACTTTCAAAAGGTTTTGACAACAATATATCCTGATTGCTGATCTGTGCAAGGACCCACAAAGGAAGACTGCTTTAAATGAGTTCCCTGCTGGCAGGGATCCTTCTGAGGGGCCAAGGAAGACATTGAAGAATCACTCTCTCTGTGCAATAAACTTCCTTTAATTTAGCGTTCAGTGTCTGTGATGATTAAGAAATGACAATACAAAAACCCCAAACAAGCAAACAGGCATGGTGGCATTCCCCCCCAAAGTGTATTTTCCTCTGAAGTTAAAATATTCATGAAGGGGCCAATAAAGAGAGCTGTCTTACTGAATGCCTGTCTCAATTCATTTGGTTTGTGACTAAGGTGTTCTTTCTGCCCAGGCACCATTGAAATTGAGTTTTAAGGTAGCAACTGTGCTGTTGCATCCCATATTTATTATCTGTCTTATTCTAGGGTATAGTTATCTAGGCTCTTAGAATTTTGCCACCAATCTACACATAGTTCCTGGAGAAAACTCAATTTAAAAAAAAAAAAAAAACTTAAAGCATTATGTTGTGGGAAATTTCAGAAGAGTATATACAAATAGAGATAATTGTAAAAGAGACCCTCATCCAATTTCAATAACGAAAACTTCACATCTATGCCACACCTACTTTTCAGCCACAACTGAATGTGGAAACAATTCCTAGATATATTTTCAACAATCGCCTTTCCAGGTGGTAGAGAGTGCACTCCTTTTCCTGTCCTTGCATGGGAACGGCAATTCCAAACACTTCACAAGTCCTCAGAAAGAGCCTCAATCACGCTGTGGTGTGTGCCTGTAATCCTTCCCTCTGGAAGCCAACGTGGGATGATTCCAAGTTCCAGGTCAGACTGGGTACATAGGCTTAAGATGAAATATGAAATGTTTCAGATAGTTATATTGAATATTTTCACAGTATTTAATATTCATCATGTGTTTATTGATTTGCTATCACAACACATTAAACACTACATTTGTATTTATAATTTTTTATTTTTCATATAAAACTACTAACATTATACGTTTCAACCGGGTACTCTTGAAAGACCCTCGGACCGAGGAGTCTCTACAAATCAGACGATCCCCTCAAAAAACACTCAATGTCCAGTCCAGCTGATGCAAAAACAAGAGGTAAGTTTATTATGGGACGTTTGTGCAAACGGGCCTCCCAGTCCGACAGACAAAGGAAAATGCCTTGTTCCTCTAAAGCAGGCTTTTTTTAATAGGAGAAAAACCATAGGCTTTTAGGGGTTTGGGTATGTGACCAGAGTCACAGATCCTTTGGAGATCTCTTATCTTTGGGGCTGGATGGTCTCCTGACTCAGTGGGATAGTCTGTTCTTATCTTCATGACCCTAGGGCAGGGTGGCCCTCTAGGAATTCTTGGTATTCAGTTAGGTTGTCTTGTGGCCTTGTAAGGGAATTATTTCTGCCAGCTAAGAAATTCCAGGGGCTCGGGTCATTGTGACCTTGGTTAGGTTTTAAGTCAGGTCTCCCTGTTCTTAGGGTGAGAGGATTGTTTTTCTTCTAAGTTATTTCTTTGTTAATTGTAAAATAATTCATTCCCCCCCCTTTTTTTTTAGGTAACCCATTCTTGGGTTATTAGTGGACAATTTTATATAGCATTTCGACCAAGTAAATGGACGGTGTCTGTCTCATACTACTTCCTGCTGACTTTGGGGCGTCGTTAGGGGTCTAAAAAATGAAATGTTAGTCAAAAGAAAAGGGGATTTAGGCAGTGGAGAAGCAAGCTGGTTGTCAAACTGTTGAAGAGTCAGAAGTGTCCGCAGCAGCACGACTGGTTTATAGTCTGAGCCTGTCTGGGCCTCACGGTCCTTAGGAGCAGGTTGTAGTCAGCAGCTGATACTTAGCTGCGTTCTTGAGTCCTAAAAAAAACTTACAGATTCAGGTTAGAAGAAACATCAGGGACCTCAGTGCTTGGCACAGCGTGGTACTGTTGAGTTATGATGAGGGCTTGAGTGATGGTTAACCTTTCATGTATAAACTCTAGGAGCCTAGTGAGGAGACAAGGGCCAAGTGTCAGGAGTAAGAGGAGAATGAACAGGGGTCCTACCAGGGTGGAAATTAGGGTAGTCAACCATGGGGTCCTATTGAACCATCCTTCGAACCATCCTTGTTGAGCCTCGGCCTTTTAGCTAATCTCTCTCTGAGTTTTGTCATGGAGTCTCTAATTACTCCTGAGTGGTTTACATAGAAGCAGCATTCCTCTCTGAGGGTAATGCAGAGTCCTCCTTCTTTTAGAAACAATAGGTCTCGGTTTTGGAGGGCTACCTCTGCCAGGGAGGCCAGTGATTCCTCCAGCC